GGCCGCCCGGCACTCCCATCCCGCAGTCCCCGAGGACCCCCCGGCGTCGGCCAAGCCGCTGCTGCGTTGGGACGAGGTGCCCGACGACTTCGTGGAGTGCTTCATCCTGTCGGGCTACCGGCGCCTGCCGTGCACGGCTCAGGAGTGCCTGGCCTCGGTGCTGAAGCCTACCAACGAGACGCTCAACTTCTGGACGCACTTCATCCCGCTGCTGCTGTTCCTCAGCAAGTTCTGCCGCCTGTTCTTCCTGAGCGGCCGCGATGTGCCCTTCCACCACCCGTGGCTGCTGCCCCTGTGGTGCTACGCGTCCGGGGTGCTGCTGACCTTCGCCATGAGCTGCACGGCGCACGTGTTCAGCTGCCTGTCGCTGCGCCTGCGCGCCGCCTTCTTCTACTTGGACTACGCATCCATCAGCTACTATGGCTTCGGCAGCACAGTGGCCTACTACTACTACCTGCTGCCTGGCCTGAGCTTGCTGGACGCCAGAGTCATGACCCCGTATGTACAGCAGCGCCTGGGCTGGCACGTGGACTGCACGCGCCTCATAGCCGCCTACCGCGCGCTGGTGCTGCCTGTGGCCTTCGTGCTGGCGGTGGCCTGCACGGTGGCCTGCTGCAAGAGCCGCACTGACTGGTGCGCCTACCCGTTCGCCTTGCGCACCTTTGTCTTCATCATGCCCCTCAGCATGGCCTGCCCCATCATGCTGGAGAGCTGGCTCTTCGACCTGCGTGGGGAGAACCCCACCCTCTTCGTGCACTTCTACCGCCGCTACTTCTGGCTGGTGGTGGCTGCCTTCTTCAACGTGAGCAAGATCCCCGAGCGCATCCAGCCAGGCCTCTTCGACATCATCGGTCACAGTCACCAGCTTTTCCACATCTTCACTTTCCTCAGCATCTACGACCAGGTGTACTACGTGGAGGAGGGTCTGCGCCAGTTCCTCCAGGCGCCACCTGCAGCGCCCACCTTCTCGGGCACCGTGGGCTACATGCTGCTGCTGGTGGTTTGCCTGGGGTTGGTCATCAGGAAGTTCCTCAACAACGCCGAATTCTGCAGTAAAAAGTGAGCCTCCACCATGCAAGAGGCTACTAGTTTGCCCATCTGTTTGTTTGGTGTTTCTGTTGTTGCTATTGTTGGGTTGTTTTCAAGTTTTGTTATGTTTCCTTCTTTGCTGGAGGAGGGTGCTGCAAAACCACAAGGGAAAGGTTCACTGCTGCTAGGGAATACCAGTCCACTTGGAGCTTTAAGAGCAGAGGACATTAACCGACAGAAGGCCACTGATTCTTGCTCCCTGAAAAAAAAAAATCAGGTAATGTCTCCGATATCCAGGGACTTTGCAAAGGCATAAATAAAATCCCAAATAATATCCCCCAAAGAGTTTGATTTTCCACTTGTTTTCTGTGTCAGTGGTAATCACAAGTAGCCCTTGTGAGGTCAGGTATGCAGTAAAGAGGATAAATAGTAAGAAATCCCTGGGTACTTCCATTTCAGTGAGGAATGCTTGGATTTGTCAAAAGAATGGAGTTTTGTAGGAAATGGGCGCAAGGCACAAACCCAGGGCTTAACCTGCTAGAAAATGCAAGGAATGTGAACACAAGTTAATTATTCCAAAATGTTTCTTAGATGTTATTTAAATAGTAATATATATGATGATTTTTCATAATTTATAAAAGCCTGTGATATGCACTGAATTTTCTTTGTCACATAGTTTTGAATTTTACAGCCCTGTGCATTGCACACACTTGAACTGGACATCAGGGCAAGCTGCTTAAAAGTTCTCTACTTTTTTAAAACAGTGTTTTCTGAAGGCTTATGAGTGTCATGATACAACTGTGAATGACTTTTACCTTAGGGATTCTTGTTAGTCTACTGGTGAAGAGCTCAAGTGGTTCATATAGATCCCAGATTCCTCTTTACTTTAATGTATTCCACAGAACTCATCCTGATTTTTTGTTTGTCTTTAATCTTCTTTCCTTCACTGCTAAAATTGCCACTGGAATAAATGTGCCTTTTGAAGCAATGCCCCAGTGACTGACCTCAGACAGTTTCTTGCATGGGGAGAGCAACAGGAGAAACCATTTCTTACTTTACTGCATAGCAGGAAGGAAGATGGTGTGGGTTTTAAGTTTTTGATCGGACCAGAATGAACGGCATTTGGCTTCTCTACCAGGACAAGGAGCCAACCCAGCAATATGGCTATGGCTCCTAATGCAGCCATGGTAGCGCGTGAAAGGACACTGGTGCCATCTATCTTTGCTTAAATATTAGAATATAATATTTAGAAGTAGATGAGGCAGTTACTATTATGAAAACCAGAAGCGTATTAACTTGGGTTGTAACTGAACCTTATGAATTAAATAAGATTATGCATGCCCCATTAAACAGAGAACTCTTATTTGAGTCAAGACTATGGAAATGATTGGCAGTCACACTGAATCCTTGAAAAATTAGCGAGCACACTGCAGCATGCTTTATTTTTTTGTGGTCAGGATCTGGCTATAAAGTCCAAGCTGGCCTTGAACTCCCTCCGTATCCCAGGTTGGGCTTGAATGTATAATCTTCCTGCCTCGCAGCCTCCCAAATTCTGGTATTAAAGATAGTCACCAACATGCCCGCCTCTCCAGCTGCTTTCTACTCACCACCTTGGCCAGTGTTATTTAGACATATCTTACAAATGCTAGCCTGTCATTGAGGTGGAAACTCTTGATGAACACAAACCTCTGAGGTAGCTAATTGAAATATCACATTTAGTAAGTCATTTGGTTAAGAGGGTCTATAAATGGGAAGTGTTGACTTGAGGGTATAATTTTGATCAAGCACATAAAGCAGATGAGAACTTACCTCGGCACTGGTAAAAAGATGGCTTTCTTTTTCTTATAGTTTTAATCACTGCTGTATTTGTAAACAGAGAAGCTCAGCGCAGTTCCCTGGAGGAACTAGTATCCTTGTGTGTGCTAATTTGCACAGTGAAGTTAAATTTAAGTATGTCTGTATTTAATTTAGGACCACATAATGGGATCGTGAGTACACCTTGCACAATTCCTGACGAGCGTCAGTGTCTTGTCCTCTGCTAAGTACAAGGAGACTCCTGTTAGGTCACAGAGGCTGCCCCTTTGTGCTCACCACAGATGTTACTCCTCAGCGGTAACTTGACGACTCAGTATACGTGTCTAAGGACAACTGTGGAAATCAGGAATTTCCACACGGAGACTTACTTGCATGTCATTGCTGTCTCTTCTAGCGCCCTAAAGAATGTTGGTTCAGAAGTTAGGGAAACAGGTTGAAGAGTATTTTGCTGCTTTCTTGTCGAATAGGACCTGCCTTTCAGAATTTGGAAGAAGGGGACTTCTGAAAAGGAATGACAGGTTTGAGAATGAGGACATTTGCCATTTTAAATTTTTGCGGGAGATATTCTGAGTCCACAAACAGAAGTCTCTTCTTGTCATGTGTCTTTGTCCTTAAGCACAGGCCGCTTAAGGATAAAATTATACCCGTATCATTTTCAAGTGATTCTGGTACATGAGCCAGTGAGATTACACACTTTTCTCCGGAAAGCTTTAGCCACCCAGTGTGTTCCAAGGAGAATAAGGACTCACTCTCTTTTTCCCTTTGCCTTTACCTCCCTCCACTTTTACTTTCCCTTAGTATTATTTGCCATAAATAACATGGACAAGAGGACATTCTAACTGAAAACAATGGTTTGGCTTTATTTCATGTTTGCAAACAGGCATCACATCTACTACAATCAGGGATGACTTAACTAGATAATCTATTTGCTAAATTATATCAGTTTTTTTGTCAAAATAATGCTATTTTAGAAACAGTCACTATCTGCACATTTGCATAGAACCATCAGGCTTTTTAAACATTTCAGGGATAATGCCACAATCAGAGTAAAATATCTTTGGAAATGTTTTTTCACACTTCATTTTGTCACATCCATTAAAATGTGGTTTTCCTTTATTATGTTCAACTAGCTGAAATATAGGACAGCTTATAAATAATAATTCACTCCATTATCTTTGAACCATCTATTTTGGCAGTAAAATTTTGAAGCATATTATGTAATACATTTTATTTTTACTTGTTAGTCATGATCTAGATGTCATCTCAAGGAGCAGCACCATGGAGTTATGCCTGGGAATGGAGGGTGTATGACTGCAGTGCCTGTCACCCGTGGGTTGGTCCCTGGGGCTGACTCAGGCTAAAGTAGTTTGTTAAAGGGGTTTCTTCCTTCCCTGCCTTTCTCACAGCTCAGGTGACCTTCCCAAAGAGAGGAAGTAGAGCTCTTTGGTCATGTCATTACTGGCTTATAAAAATAAATGTGATCTTTCCACTGGCCACACACTTTCTATAAATAGCCGAGGGAGGCAGTATGGAGCTAGAAAGCTGGCCAGAGTGGCCTTCACGTGTGTCCATTCATAAAGCCTGCCTGTAAGTTCTTAGAGTCAAAAAACCATTTGGCCTCATTCATCATGGTACTTTATGGTCATCATTTCTAAGAATGTAATATTTAGGGAATAGAGGTGATTTTTATCATTCTTTTTCCTGATGTGGTGCTGAACTGGAGGGCTAAGAGCAATAACAGGGAATTTTATCATCACCTCTCATAACTTTAGTGTGCAAAAAGCTGTATTAGGAGACAGGTATGATAGATACTATCACCATTTCAAGATTTTACTGTTGGTCCAAGGTAACAGACTTAAGTTTCCAGTTGGCATATAATGTGGGGACAATTGTGCATCTCAGTTGTGAGCATCTCTGAGTGTGTGCAGCTCTGATACCCAGCCAAGCCCCAGACACACTAGCTGGATACACTATACATGTATATGTAATTGACCATAATTTTTAAATAGAACAAGGAGATGGCTATGTTTGAAACTCGATTATAAAATCTTATTAAACATGTTATCAGCCACTAAAATGGTTTTTATCATCTTGTTCATCTGTTGAAATTTCATACTGCTGACTTCGCTGTCAGGGTCCTTGAGTCAGCATTCGTCCAGCCGCCCATGTAATGCCTTTAGTGATGTAGCCTACTGTATGAAAGACCTTTGAGCAAGATTCTGTCTGTCCGTACCGTTGCAGCCATTACTTTTTTGCGCTGTGGTGGAACAAAGGAGATTGGGTCTTTTCCTCTGTTAGTAGAAGAGCAGTGCATAGAATCTTATTTCAATCGGCTCACTAATTTACCTGCAATTTCTTTTGTCTTATATTTGTGGGTCTATGGTTAAAAAACTTGAAATTTCAAAGTACAAGTCAGGTAGAGGGATGGTGGGAATACATGCAAAGCTGGAAGCATTTATCATCACCTATTAATAAACATAATAATTATTGAGAGGTTAATAGCATTTATATAATCGTGAAATATGGTTTATTCAGAGTCCTAAGTTTTGATGTCATTAAGTGAATTTCACATATAGTATAATAAAGTTAAAAAACAAAAACTCTCACACACATGAATTTAAATGCTTAAATCTCCAAAATTAAAACTATGACTAATGTGTTAGCCTTTTTTCCTCTTTTAAGAGTTTTGGGTTGTAACTAAGCATATCTAGGAGAAAATAACTCTGAAGAAAAAAATTTTTAAATGTCATGTTAAAAAAAAAAGTAGGAAGAGAGCATGGGAAAGAAAAAACAAAGAATGGGATTCAGACAGCAAAATGGGCAGCAAGTTTAACAGTGTTTGGTTTTTGCTTGAGTTTTAAATTTTATCCCTAGAAAAGTATGTGAATTCCCAGGGTCTTAGTGTTTAAATAGGTAGGTAAGGAACTCTATTTGGCTTACGCTGTAGCTTTTAACCTGAGCATGAGGTGCCTGAGTATATTTTGAGTAGCTCATTTATCCCCTGGCTTAACGTTCCTAATTTGCTCCCCAAAATTAGGGCATAGGTCAAAAGGGAATTAGGGGATAGCAGTGGCCAATTGTAAAGCAGGCTTTGAATCATTCTCTTGAAGGAATGCCAATATTCACCGGTATATATTACCTGACAAAAAGAGAGAGCCTAGACACCCTGGAAAAAGAAGCACTTGTAGGTGAAACTGAGTACCTCTGTATTTCCTTGTGAGAAGCTACACGCCTTCCTACTGAAGATTTGATTTCTTCAGTATTATGAATAATTATTTCTTAGTTATGAAAACATGGGTATCGGTTCTTAGTCACCATTCCAAAAACCTAATACAAATTTCTGTTGTCCTTTCAAAAATAGCAAATATATTGCATTTCTGGATTACAAATTTCTAACTACTATATAGACTTTTTTGTTTTAGAACAACTTCTTAAGAGTCTGTAAGCAAATTGCAGAATTTGTGTTTATTTATAGGTCAGGGGCCAAGAATGCTCACTTAGCTGTTAATTGTGGCAGGATGTGACTTCCGAGAAAGCTGAACATAAACCTGTATGCAACAAAACGCTTATTTATTTGCTCTTTAATTCAGTGGGAAAGCGGCCTTTACTTTGAGCTTTTGAAAATGTTCCTAATACACCGTTGCTGTAAGTGTAATCCAGGAGTTTTAATGCTTTTGGTTCTCAGCCTCTGAAAGCTATTCCAAACATGGCATTTCCCAAGGAAATTTTCTTGAGTGTGCAAAATTATTTGGAACTGTATGAAAGTGGCAGACCACCTTTCTCATGCCTGAGAGCTCCACCTAAAATATGCAATAAGCTCTCAGGGCTGAATAGGGCAGGATCTGCAGTTGGTTATTTAGCCACGTGGTGAAAATGGCCCTGTTTCTCGCGGTTTACCATAATGTCAAGAAAGGGCACTGTGTAAATAAAACTCTCAATTCTAGATGAAATATGGGCCACACTAATTTCATTTCTGCTTTTGGTTCCATCTCTAGTTAGAGAGGATAGTCTGTTTTTAATATGGTGGGTGCAAAAGAGAAAATTAACGGGAAAAATTTTAAAAGAAGTATTTTAATTGTATATTCTAAAAATTTGTAATGGCAATTTGTTTGTTTTAAAAAAAATAGGCCTTAGCACATGGGTGAGAACCAGTGCTTTTTGGAAAGCCTCATCTCTGTCCTGGGGGTTTCATTAACTTTGAGCTCTTACCCAAACAACAAAGGCCTTGTAAGTCTTTAAAACTGCACATACAATATAGCTTAAAGAAGGATAAAAACCATTTTTTAAAAAGAAGAAAACATGTCTAATAGGTTCTAAGTATGTAATGAGGCTAAATTTTAAAGTCTTTTAAACTTTTTGGTTAGAAACTTTATTAAATTGCCTCTCTCAGGAAGGCTTAGCACAGGAGGTCTACTTTTCTGCCAGGTTGGTTTTTGTTTCTTGAGGCTCTGAGCAAAGTTACTCTAACCAAACAGCTGGGGACACAGACAATAAACAGGTGAGGTGAGTTTCACTCTGATGAGGTTGTGATCACAGTGAAGAAATCAGTAAGAAATGCTCAGCCCTGGACATTGTCCCTTCGCTCTCTGAAGTGGAGAGAAACAGCTCTCTGCCAGTGATCCGTGGACCAGGAAGAGCTTTCTGTTCCAGGGCTGGGGAAAGATTCTGTGCCTGCTTTTCCTCTGCACAAAGCCTGTGGTAGCCCTGAACTTCCTCCATTTCAGTCTTGTCGCAGACCATTTCTGCCACCCTGGAAGCCTTCACTTTTCACAAATACAGCCTTGAAGACAAAAAATTCCTACAAGGATTCAATATGTAGTTAGGCCTTCTCCGACCGTCTGCCTTATGAGGTGCACCTGTTTCTAACCTAAGGATTTAAATTAGATAGCTGTACACAGATTGCAAGAATGTACAACTGGCAGGTCCCCTTTTGAAGTAAAGGGCATTACTTGAAGGGTCATCCTTATGTTTTTCCTCAGGTCAGAGGCAGAGGGACAATTTAATAGTGATCAAATAGAAACCTTGTGTCTGTTGTTCTGTTTAAGTTCACTTAATGTTGATAATGGGGGAAGAAGGGAGTAGAGTTACAGTTATAAAGAATTTTCCCCATTGCTGGCTAAATTATTATGCTACCCTGACTCCAGTCCTCACCTACATCCTAAAGAGCTGTCTTATCTAACTAGAAGAGAGCTTCTCAGGAGACACGACTTTCCATACCTGAACTATGGTGTGGTCTCAGATCAACAGTGTATTCCAACAGAAGAGTATTATTTTATAATTTCAGGTTTTAGGGTCAATTAAGCAAAATAATCCATAAAATAGATATAATTTTGGTCAATTCTGTGCATGTAACTAAACAAATTGTGACTCATCTCTGTTGTATAGTTTGATTTCAGCTTTCTGACACTCTGTTCCCTGTACAGTGTCTTGAATATGGAATTCTGTATAATGTAACTATGCATTTTTTGCTGAAAAACAAATGTATGAAATATGAATAAATTATTTGTAAGCACAGTGTCTAGGCCTGCATTTGTATGCCTCCGTGCATGTTCAGGAGACGTTCTTCAGCAAACGAATGTAACACTAATACACATGATAAGAAAAATTTATTCTTGTCAAAACCAGCAGGCAGAAAAGTAGAGTATAATTTTGTTCTGAAGAATAAATAATCTTTATGTATTTCTTTTTATAATACTAGTTAAATGAAAAAGATTTGTGAATTACTATAAAGCCTTATATTCTAAGAAAATAATTATATAACCTGGATTATGAAACCTTTCCTTCCTCTCTCTGTTTCTCAAGGGTGTATGTGGCCCATGGGTTTCTGTGTGATATATCTTGCCCCCAAATCCTGGTGATGAGTTTGAGTTTACAGTATCTTTGTCCTAAATAACCTGGCAAGGAAATCAAGTTCAATTAAGCTTTGTGGTAACCGTTATGTGTTCAAATCATTTTGACTTTTCTTTCAGTTAGAGGTTTTTAATCAGAGTTTTCAGGAACAGAAAACTGTACTCTTGGTGAAGCAAGAAAAGGTTTATAGGAAGAACACTTGGGAGATCTCAGTGCACAGAGCTAAGCATCCACGTACCAGGAAGGAAGGAGCCAGGCAATGCCAGAGACCCCAGCAGGGAGCCCCTGCCATTTTTCAGGACACTGCTACCATGGGTGCCAACTCCAGCTGCTTTCTGGCCGTGATGTTTATGCTCAATTCCAGTTCCTGGGTAAGAGTATCTGATCTGACAGCCCTTTCCAGAACCACAAGAAGAGTGATGCTTAGCTCTCCTTAGGAAGAGATGATGGGCAGACAAAAACAACTTTCCCCTTCACCCAGTCCCCGGCTGTCTGGGACCCACACGTGTCACTAATCTCTATTCCTGGGGAGCGTGAGGACAAGGATCACAGGAGACTAAGAGTTTGGGCCTGTGGGTGCTATGTCAAGCCAAGTGTCCTAGCAATGTGGGATCCCTGGTGAAGCTTTAGAGCGTCTGGTTACAGAAGGAGGGAGAAAAAGTGTGCCTCCGGCCCAAAATGGCCCAGGCCCCAGCTGGGTAACATGCACCTTCCTTTCCATATACTGAGTACTTTCCTTAACATAATACAACTGTTTCATGTACAATCTAAGGTCACAGCCTACTCCCTGACCTAAAACTACAACTAGCTCCTAACTCCCAGGATCTCCACCTCATATGAATTCCCTTCATTCAGGTAGGGATTTATTCAGTAAGACATTCGCCACCTCTAATGGCACACAGACATCCATCACTTACTGTGCTCGAAGAAGGCAGAATGAGGCCTCCTCACCTTGCCGTGGGCTGAGCTCCTCAGGTTCTCTGTGCTGTGAGAATCTCCATGTGCCTGATGCAAGCCACTCTTAGGAAGGCCACTCCATCCTGGCCGCCCGTATTTCTTGTTCCTGTCCTGGATATCTGCCTTCTTGCCTTCTGATCAGTTTCCCCACTCTCCAATCTGTGTATTGAAGCTGATTATATAGGCTCAATTGCACTTCGGTTATTTTATTTTGGTTTGGTTAGATCCTACCGAGAGGAACTACTGCGGAACATTAGATTGAAAGGAAGGGGTCAGAAGGTTAACATCTTTCTCCTCCCTATATTCCCCATTCTTCCAGTGTTTTTCCTGATCTCCTCAACCCTGGTTGTTACTAGCAGTCATTGTGTAACTGGGAGGAAGGAAAGATAAGAATAAAACCAGCTGGGGCCAGGGATTTAGCTCAGTGGCACTGTACCTGACTCGCAAGCACAAGGTCCTGAGTACAAGCTCCAGTATGGTGGGGGGAGAATAAAACCAGGGACAGGACCAAATACAGAAAGTTACAAAGGTAGCCTTGGTCAATCTGTCCCTGAAACCTACACTTTTGGACTTTTTCTTATGTGAGCCAATAAATTCTCTTCATTTTATGATTATATATTATATTTATTGCTTATAATAAAAATATCTTACCTAATCTAGAAGGTTTGTTTGCCTCCCAGGCATATAATAGGATTTACAGAGTTCTCAACTTGCCTTGACTCAGCCAGTCCCACATTTTAGGATTTGCATATTAGATCTTTGCATTACCTCATTGTTTTGTTTTGTACAGAAAGACAGGGTCTCATTATATGTCAGTCTGGCCTTGAACTCACTCGGTAGCCCAGGCTGGCCTCCAATTCCTGGCAATTCTCCTGCGTCAGCTTCTCTAGTGCCGCGATTATAGGTGTGTGACATCATGTCCAGTTGCAGTATTCTATTTTTAAATACATAGTTTCTGTGTTAGGATTCAGTACTTTTCAGTGATTCTCCCATAGTACCTGACCTGCTTTCTCTCCTGTTCTGCAGTGCAGGTATTTCAAATGTCTGACCCTACCACTCCCACCCTCTCTTCAAATTTCTCATCCTACTATGTCCCTCCTCTTCAGGAACCACACTCTATCCATTACATACTGTTGTCCTATATGTTTTCAACTACTTATCAATAGAATTCCTTCTAGCATTTAAAAAATGTAGTCCCAGCAGAGGGATGGCTGGGTCAAATGGAACCTCTAGGCCCAGCTCTTTGAGGTATCTCCATATTGGTTTCCATAGTGGTTACACCAGTCTGCACTCCGAACAACAATGGAGAAGGGTTCCTTTCTCCCCACAACCCTGCCAACATTTGTTATTGTGTGATTTCTTAATAGCAGCCATTCTTTGTGGGGTGAGGTGGAATCTCAGTGTTGTTTTGATCTGTATCTCTCAAATGACCAGTGATGTGGAACATTTTTTCATGTATTTACTTGCTGCTTTTACTTCTTTGTCTGAGAAATGTCTGTTCACTTCAGATGCCCATTTTTGAATGAGGTCCTTATATTTGAGGGGGTTGATTGTTTTGAGTTCTTTATATATTCTAGATAATAGTCCTTTGTCTGAGGAGCAGCTGGTAAAAATTTTATCTGACATTGTAGGTTGTATCTTAGTTCTATTGATGGTTTCTTTTGCAGTGCAGAAGCTTTTTAATAAGATGAGATCCCAGTTGTTGAGTTTTTTTGTGCTACTTCCTGTGCTACTGAGAATTTGTTCATAAAGTCTTTTCCTACGCCAATGTCTTCAAGAGTTCATCCCTCTGCTGGGTATCTTTCCAAAAGAATTAAAAGAATCATATCACAATGATATATGTGCACCTATGTTTATAGCAGCACAGTTTGTAATAGCTAAAACTTGGAAACAGCCCATTTGCCCATCAGTTGGAAACTGGATAAAGAAGATGTGGTTTTTCTATAAAATGGAATATTATTCAGCCATAAAGAATGAGAAATTCGATTCATTCATAGGAAAATGGATACATATTGAGGATATACTCCTAAGTGAAATAAATAAGACATACATGTGTAAATACCAAATAGTTTCTCTGGTGTGAATAAACTATAATAGTACATAAGATCCTAATGAGATAATTGACAATGTGAAATAGGAAGAAAAGGGCTAAAGTTGTAGGGAAAGTGGGAAGGGTGTGGGAAAGGTAATAAGGGAAAGGAAAAAATGGGAAAAAATGAAAAGATGGAAATAAAGTGTTTGTAAATGGGGAGGGGAGGAGGAGGTGAAGGGAGGGCAGGGACAAGGGGGAAAAATGAGAACCAAGACCTGTCATGTAAAGGTACAAGATCCCAATAATGAATGTAACTATACTGTATACCTAAAATGTACCAATAAACTCAATGAGGAAAACAAACAAAGAGTTCAACATAAAAAAATGAGAACATCTCCCTTTTCCCAATTATGTCACCCTCTCTCTTCTCTATAGCCAGACTTTTTAAAAGAGTGGTGAACTGTTTTGGTTTGTATCTAGATATCCTCCTAAAGCTGCATGTGTTCGTAGGGAGGGCTTTTGGGAGATGGCTGGACCATGGATGTGTGATACTAAATAAAGAGTGTGTGTTACTGGATCTGCCCACTGATTGGTTTAGCATAGTTCTGGATGTGGCTAATGGATTTACTGAAGACAGAAGCCCCACCTGGGTGCAGATGGCATCAACCAATAGGCTTGTAGCCCAGACGAAATAAAATGAGAAAGCCAGGCTTGCTGCTGCTGCTGCCTCCTGGCTATCCTGCCATGGACTGTTTCTCCTCTGCCCTTCCACCCTGCCTTGGAGCCAGCTAACTATAAACTGAAACCTGTACACACTGAACTAAAACAAATCTTTCCTCCTTTAACTTGTGGGTATCCAGTATTTTATCCCAGCAATAAAAAAGTAACTAAGACATGAACACTGTCTTTATTTTCTTACCTCCCACTCCTTTATCTACTATGCCTTGGGTTCCTCAGTGGCACTAGAATGACTACTGAAATTTCTAACAACCTCCTTGTGACTAATAAACATTTCTTAGATCTTTTTCCATTGAGACACCTTCTCCTTGAGACACCTTCCCCTGGGCCTATGTGACTCTGCTACTCTTACACAATTGCCTTCCCTGACTTATCTTTTCCTGTTCATCCCTGAAATTTCCTCCAAGTGTAAGCACAGGACATTTACATCAGTATAGTTTGAGACTCAGTGAGTAGCCTTCTCATTCTGCTGCTTGCTGTCAGCTTTCCTGTTCATAGCAGAGGCAGTATACTATTCATTTTTATAATCTCAGCTTTGCCTCTGTTCCTCCAGTTCCTCCAGTGAGTTTGTAAACCATCCAATGCCTACAATAAATCCCAACTAGCTTGAATACATTCTGCTGTCTACTCTCGATCTTACATTGATTATGCCAGGTAAATGGAACAAGATGGTGGTTAGACATGCTGCAAATGGGAAGCTACAGTTCTTGCTTCCCCAAACC